AAAGCCTCATCTTTCTCCTGCGGAGCAGCTGGTAGTTTCGAACCGCTGACCTTAAGGTTCACAGCCCGATTCGTAACCACTACACTACCAGAGCTCCTTAGATCTCCTTTAGGGAGGGTTAATAAAGGACTGAATGGAACAACATATGCAAAGTAGGTGTGGGAATTTTACTTTTTCACTTGCTCTGTCCCCAGCCACATTACACCCTGCCCCTCCTGCCTAACCACAGGTGTAGAACCTGGCCCACTAAGTACTGAGAATCTAAAAGCAGAAAACCTCACCCAACTTCACATTCTAATTGGTGCCCCCAGGACTCAGCTAAACAAGGACAGTGTCCTAACTCTCTCAAAGAAGGAGGGTGGTGATTGGTGGTTATGTTCCTGTGGAGCCCGTTCAAAGGAGGAGGGTAGTAAACCCTAGTAATAGAAAGGGTTTCATTCCATAAGTTGGGACCAGGGGGCTGATGTAAAGGAGGAGGGAGCTGCCCTTCAGAAGGCTAAAGAAAGGAGTAGAGACTGGACCCCATAAAAAAACTGGTGATTGAAGTGGTATGAGGGTGAGGAAGAAGATAATTACTACCATTTCAGAACAGAGGGTGGGGCAGAGAGCTAGAAGAGAGGGGCAGGGAAGGCAGGGTTTCTCTGTCTGGGCCTCTCCCACTCTGCACATTTATCAGAGCTCTGACCCAGAAGTAAAGGAAGAAGAGGAGATGCACTGGGAAGGGGAGGAGAGGTTTCCCATGGGAACCAGAGGCTCAGATGCAGGCAGAAAAGGCAGACAGGGCAGTTTCCAGTCTCTGCCTTAAGGTTGGCAGGACGCCAACTACTGGAATTCCAGGAAGTTGCAGACAACAACCTCATCTTGGTCCTTTTTGAGGAGCAGGAAAGGCAGAGAGAAACCTGGGGAAACATTCACTGGGGAGCAACAGAGGCAAAAAAAAAAAAAAAATCTAAAGCGATTCCTGGGTGGAGACTTCACAGTCACAAGTCTCCTGCACAGACACTGACAACCCCACCCACATCCTTCTTGTTGTTGTGAAGTGCCATCGAGTCGATTCCGACCCATAGCGACCCTGTATAGGGTTTCCGAGGAGCAACTAGTGAGCTTGAACCACCAACCTTGCAGTTCAAAAGACTTTGCAGTCTGGCGAATTAACCCACAGCGCCACACCAGGACTCCTTAGGGACATGAAGGGTAGTGCTAAAAACAGGTTTGCACTATTTATTCTCATTTCCGGCCCTTACTAGTTCCCATTTTAATTTTCTGAGCCTCTACAGGAGACAGAT